GATGAGATGAGATGAGATGAGATGAGATGAGATGAGATGAGAAGATTTACTTACTAGTTTATGCAATCTCAGTCATGCATGACCTTTGGTCATAGCATTTTCATGACTTTAGGCTGAGATTAGCCTCTTTTTCGTTTATAAGTAGGTTTTTCGGGACTACCAGTAGATCATGTATATGAAGGGTATTCACACTATCTCCTTTAAGGTGATAAGGGAACTTGATAAGGCTAATTAAATTTTCCCATAATAGTATAAGTAGACTTTACGTTTCCACTAACATTCACCTCCCGGCTGGAGTGGACTGCAGATTTGACCTCGCCTGAACTGGTCCCATCAGCACCTTCAGCGGGACTCGAACCAAGACAGTGCTGCATTTAATCTCGACACGTGAGCCACTACACCACATTATCACGACTGCCCTTCGGTCACAGAGCAGATGTGAATTTCAAGGAAGACCAGACATATTCCCATATCACATTTTCTGGTGGGGTTGTCGATGAAAGAATATTGTTTTTGATATAACAATCGACTATATTACTTCTTTTTCGTTTATAAGTAGGTTCTCGAGACTACCAGTAGATTATTTATATCAGGTGTATATAATACGGTTTAATTCCACCTGGGGGTGTTGATAATATTTAGTCGAAGTCAAAACTGCTTTATCTGAAACTAAGTGGAAACGCAATATCTACTCATATAAATGAGGGAAAATTCAACGGCCAGTCCCTTTATCACCTTAAAAGAAATAGAGTGAATATACCTCAATTATATGTCTAGTACCGCCTAGAGACTTTGACAACCGCAGACATAGAATTATTCACATTATCTATATATCAATATTTTGCTGTCATGTAGGATATCTAGCACATAGGATAGAGCTTGTCAGTCTTCTTGGTCATTTGTAAGCCAGTTATATCGGAAAATTCTGGTTGATGTTGTCTCCGTATCAATCTCCTTTGGTTTGTTATTTTCTCATTTCTTTCATTACTAATTTCATGCTCATACGAATAATCTTAAGACTCTTGCAAAAATCATTTCAATCCCGGTTGATACCCGATTTCATCCATAACGTGCAAGTATGCCTCGGGGACTGCGTCAACCTGTACGTCGTGTTGAAATAAAAAGGCTTCAGTACAACGGAAATCGTCCATCGTCTTCCGGTGAGCTCAACCAACGAATCTCTTTAGCGTACAGTTTTGATACGAAAGTAACGTGTCCACAACGATCATAAAAGTCATGTTTGTTCATTTTGATATATCTTCAGGTTTGCTGATAGATTAATTTTAAAGTCCTGGATATCAATTTGATATTCGTATGATAATAGGGTTTCGATACTACCAGTAAATCAGTGTAATGAGATGTATTCACTCTATTTCGTCTAAGGTGATGGCAGTAAAAACGAAATAGGGTGAATACATCTCGTTACACTAATTTACCGATAGTCTCGAAACTCTACTCTTATACGAATATA